GTATACATATATTATAAGGGGGGTATATGTTGGAGTGGTTGGTACTTTTGTTTAAAAATTATGAAAGAGGGGAAGGACCTGGGGATTGGCGGAGAGCTGTATATCCCTTTTATATAAAGGGAAAAGGGGGACAAAAGAGATTGAAAAAATTTAAGAGGAAAAAATTTTTTTACAAGTAACCGGGAAAAGTATACGGAGGGTTTAAATTGAAAGAAAAAGGTAAGACAAAAAGAGAATTGCGGAAAACAAGGGGGTTTTTTCAAGTGGGTAGGGGATTGAATCAAGTGTTTAATTGAAGCTATTGTAACGTATTTGATAAAGGTAGGGAAGTTTTTATTGCTTTTATGGTTTTAAAGAAAAGGCATATGATAGAGGGGATGAGGACAATGTGGCAGATGTTGCAATTATGGAATAGGGGTAATTACTAAATCTTTAAAGAGCTTTTTGAGGATAGTGGCTCGGTTGGGTGTGAGAAGAGAGGGAAATACCCCCCGGAAAAAAGTAGGTCTTAGACAGGATGTGTAATGTCCCCTGGTTTTTTTAAATTTTTTTAGATTGGGTTGAAAAAAAAGTAAATGCAGGGGTTCGGGAGAGGGGGGGATTAAATTTGGGGGAAACAAATTCAAATGGGGAAATTTACCAGTTTCTTTTTGCTGTGATACTTGCTTATGGGATTCTAAAAAAAAATGCAAAGGTTTGTGGGTGAGTTGAGAATGTGTGTAAAGGTAAAAGTTGAAAGTGAAATAGAAAAAGTAAAGGGGAAGGGTTCAAATGATTTAGATAAAAAAAAATTGGATATCAAATTGGGGGGGGAGGGGGTAGGAAGAAGTGAATGTTTTTTAGATACTTGGGAGTTGACGTGTCAGCGGATGGATTTATTAAGGTGGGTAATCATAGAATTGATGAGGGAAAAAAGGTGAGTGGGCGTTTTAGGTATATTTGGGGTCAAAAAATTATCTATGGGGGCACAGAAGGGAAAGTATGAAAGTTTGTTTTTCCAACACTCTTTTTATGGATGTGAAGCTTGGTGGTAAAAAGCAGCAGCGAAGACGGTTGGAGGGGTGGAGATGTCCGGTCTAAGGGGGAATGTGTGGGGTTATTATGCAGAAAATTCGGAGTGTGGAAATTAGGGGGAGGGGTGGGGTTAATAAAGCATTAGTCAGAGGGCAGAAGAGGGGGTTTTTGAGGTGGTTTTGGTCATTTAGGGAAAAATGGATCAAAGTGAAGACATTGGGAAAACATAAATCAAGGGGAAAGGAAAGAGGGGTAGGGGTCGTCCCGAAAGGGTTGGAAAAAGGGGGTAAAGGAGGTTTTTTTTTGGGGGAGGCTTTTGGGTTTCCCGCAAGGGCATGAGCTGTTAGTAGGATGAAGGAACGAATGTACTGGGGCCTGACGATCTGTTGGATGTGAGCAGGGGGAATATTTAGTGAAGGGGTTAGGAAACCGGTTATTTTTATATGTCGGACTTGAGTCCTGGAAATGGGAAGTAAAATGCCTGACTTTAAAGGAGGGGGTTTTTTGGGTATTGGCATTTTTGGAGGGGGTATTTTGTTACTCTTACGTATAGTTCTAAAAATTTTTAAAAATTTTGAGCACCCGCAAAAACAGTGATAATTGTGATGTGGAAAAGGGTTTAATGATGAGAAAGATTTTCTTTTTTTGGGGGTTTTCTTTTTTTTGTGGGTCCCCTGCCTCGGTGGACACCGACTTTTGAAAAAAAAAAAAAAAAAAAAAAAAAAATTATACCTCTCCTAGGTAGTGGGTTGGTAGCCCAGCAACCGCCCAGGGAGGTACTACCGTCCTCCCAAGTGAGTGTAAAAACGAAAGCCTGTAATTGTTTTCATGATGGTAGGATTGCTGGTGTCCATTTTTTTTGTCTCATGAACATGCAAGATTTCAGGTATGTCTTGCAAACTTCTACTTACACTTAGGTAACACAAACACATACATGTTACAAGCATATTTTATACACCCCCCCTCGGGGGTTTTCTTCTATTTTGTTCTATTTCTTTGTCCTTGTTTTTTCTTCTTATCTCCATGGGGAAGTGGAACAGAATTCTTCCTCCGTAAGCCATGCATGTTGTAAGAGGCGACTAAAATGCCGGGAGCAAGGGGCTAGTAACCCCTTCTGCTGTATATATTACTAAATGTAAAAGGAGAAACTTTTGTTTTTCCTTTTGGGCCACCCCGCCTCGGTGGGATACGGCCGGTGTGTTGAAAGAAAGAAAGAAAGAATTTATACCTCCATATAAATAAATCACCTGCATCCATATTAAACATGAAACACATTTACTTATATTTTATTGAGCCATATCTTTAAGCTATTTATGTGACTGGCTGAGATTTGAACCTGAGTTGTCTAGGTAGCCTTCTGGAATCTAGCTAAACTCTTGACATCCTAGACCATTATGCCACTAGAATGTTTTAGGTGTCCAGTGTGAACATTAGATATGCTTTCCTTAATACTGGGCACATTCGAGGGATTGGTAAGCTCAGGGACTAATTTTATACTTTTAAACTGTTATATTTTGAGCACCTCTGCAAAAACAGTGATTATGTGTGAGTGAGGTAAAAGTGTTGAATGATGAAAGTATTTTCTTTTTGGGGATTTTCTTTCTTTTTGGGTCACCCTGCCTCAATGGGAGAAGGCCGACTTGTTAAAAAAAAAAAAAATTAGTTACCAGTCTCATGAGCAGTGGATGCACTGATTTGCATACTGATCAAGAAACTGGTATCCAAACAGAAGAATGAAATTAGTCCCTGACCTTACCTCTCCCTCAGATGTACCCAGCACTAGGGAAAACATGTCTACTGTTTACAAAGGACACCTAATATCTTTGTGGCATGGTAGGACAGTGGTTTAGGGTGTTGAGAGCTTAGCTAGCTGATTCACAGTAGGTTGCCAAGATGACTCAGGTTCAAATCCCTCCCAGATGTAGTATGTTCTTTGCTTTAACCCTTAAACTGTCCAAACATAGATCTACGTCCACGTGCGGGGGGTTCCAAACATAGATCTACGTTTTTTTTTTTTTACATGCTTTCAAATGGGGAAAATCAAGGTCGGAGCGCTACGCACGTGAACATAGACCTACATTTGGACGGTTTAACCCTTTGACTGTTGCAAGCCCCTTTCTGAAATTGTCATTCTATGTCGCAAAATTTTTGGAAAAAAAAAAAATTATTTTTTTCTTATGAAATGATAATCTTTTCCTGATGGTAATGAGACCAAAAGTACGAAATTTGGTCGAAAACTCACGAAATTACGCTCCCACGAAGTTAGCGGTCTCGGCGACATAATACGAATCGGCAATTTCACCGACTTTGAGCCCTGTTTTTGGCCAATTTCGTTGTTCCAGTTGACCAAACTCATAGCTATTTCTTTAGAACTCCATTTTTTCTATCAATGGAGTACAAGAAACCGCCCATTTACCGATTTGAACTACCCAATTAAGTGGTCAGAAACTGGCAATTTGGCCAATTTCACGCAAATTAAAAAAGATGCCAATTTCAAAATAGGGCCCAGAATAAACAATGTAGACATTCTTGGCACTAAAATAACATATCCTCTGTTCATTAGTCATGTCTCTAGGCCCCTCTTATATTACTATTGCTTTCTTTTGATTTTTTATTCATACAAAAAATACAAAATTTACTGTTATGCAGACTACTGCATTATTGTAAAAATGGTATAAATAATATCAGTGCACTAGTGAAAGAATATTAGACTCCCCAGTTGATGTGTATTGGACGTGTGGTGTGATTTGCTTACTCCTGAACATTGGTAAAAATCGAACATTTCCACTACTTTGAACTCAATTTCATGGTCGTTTTCATTGTGAAACTATTCAAAATCATCTCTATTTCTGAAATGTGTTTTTCATTTTATCACCTGAGACCATGAAAATGAGAATACAACGATAAATACCATACGAAAATACACCTCAAAGTCAGCGTTTTAATCCAAATAAAACGGTCAGTTTTTTCTCATTACGCACTGCGTGCTACAGGATTTTTTTTATGTGGTGCACACTGACCCATTCTCTCACATGTGGGCCTACCAGCTTTCTCCTGCTTGCTCTGAAGCCGCTAGAATTTGTGCGGATTAATACTGGCTCGTAAAACGTATATATACGGCCAAAACAGTCAAAGGGTTAATTGTTAAACAACTGATGTGGTGAGCATGCTCTGATTTGTTTCAAATGAATGGAGGCAAAGAATATGCAAACCATGCAAAACCTAAGAATTATCCTGTAAACACCGAAATGCAATCTTAATTAATCCAGAGTGAAAGTGAATTAGCAAAGATTGAATGTGAATAAATGGTGGTGCAAATGCTTTTGTATAAGCTATGTTTGGTCTCTGAATGTTGCAAGAGAGTCAAGGAAATAGGTGTAGTAATTAAAAAAATGGTGTGGTGGTAAGAAAAGAATAATTCCAAGAGCAGAAAGAATTGTTTTTGAAATGCTTTGGTCATGTGGAAAAAATGGAAGAAGATAAAATGACTGAGGATCTATAAATCTGGGATAAATGGAAGGTGTAGAGGATCCCAGAAAAATGGTTGGAAGTATAGTGTGAAAGAGGTATTGAGAATAAAATCTAGATTGTACAGCAGGCACAACTAAGCATTTTAAACTGGAATGCATGGGAAAAAGTAATCAATTGGATTTAGCATGGCATTGTAGTGCAAGCAACATAATATGCATAAAAAGATCCAGAAAAACTGGCCAACTGAACTTTGGTTATAGAAGTTGGGATTACTTCATGGTTGGGTAGTGATGCTCTGAAAAAATGTGTGATGAAGAATATAGTGTTTTCTTCTTTGGACCACTCTGTCTTAGTTTTAAATAGCAAATGAATTTTAAAAAAATTACCCTAAAATTTTAAAACAATTGGGTACAATAATGAAGCCAATGATAGGGTTTCAATAAGTGTGCAAAATGAAACTTTACAGATCTAATTAATATTCAACACTTCCAACTTAAGATAATATTAAAACTTACTTGAAAGTTCTTTCAACCTCCTTTGAGAATACTGGTTTGGGTTTCTGCTTATGAAGCCAATACTGCTCCTGGAGATTTTTTGGAGCTCGAACACGACGCTTACGATTTTCGGTATTATCTGATTTATTTTCTTCTATCTCTTCCTTTCAAGAAAAGATATACACTTTTTATAAAAATTCAAATTACTTTTTTACAACATACAAATAAAATTTATGAGTCCCATCATTAATACACATTAGAAGAAATACAGACTTCAGGAATCTTTAAGAAACGCTTATTATGGCAGGAAAATATAAAGTGAATTAATGTTAGTGAATGTCAGAAGTTTAACACAACAGCTGTAAAATGCAAACTGAAATAACAAGGTTCAGTTGTAAATTATGTTGAATACATTCTCACAAACAAAAACAAAATTGCAGTATATACCAGTATAATAAGTAATCAGTAATGGCCAAGGGTTTCTAAACATTTATGATGTCTTATACTGCAGTGTAACAAAAAACACTTATGATCAAAGACTGATAGCAAAATACAATTTTATCTGACAAAAATTCAACAAGCAACTGGCTTTCAGTAGAGAAAATTATCTGTAACTGCATTTTGCTTTATTACTAATGACACAGACAATTTATTTCTAAGATTCCTTTTACGTATTACAGTACAGTATATGAAAAAAAAAAAAGTACTCACTTGATTGTATGTGCGAGACTTTCGATGACCAATAAGCATGCCTGGTTGAAGAGGGTATGCGGTCTGCACTCCTTGAGAATAGCGATGACTATAGCTTCCCTTCTTTGGTTTCCTCTCAGTCTCTCTAGGATACTCCTAAAACCATAATAAAATATTTATGAAACTAGACTAAAGCTTATTAGAGAGATGACTATTTGGTCAAGTTTAGTTTATTCATTACTTTCAAATTTAATTCTCATTAGCCATGATACCTTTCCTGGTGAAATTCACTATGCTATGATAAATGAGACTGATTATGGCTAAGGGACTTAACACTCATCAAGGCTGAGTGACTGAATATCTCAAAATTACAGTGTCTGCCCTTGCAAATGTCTTATTCATCAACTTGTTGGTACTGTAGACAAGTGTAATGCAGAAAACTGTAATAAAAGTAAGGCAAGTGTTACTGGCCAAGGTCTCAGCATGAAGTTTCTTTCCCTCTAGCCCTTTCACTCTTGGTCCCGTAATATTACGGCTTGCAAGCCAGTGTCAATCCCGTAATACTATGCCAAAATATAAAAAAAAAATCCTGCAGCATGCAATGCATAATGAAAGGAAAAAAACTCTGACCGTATTTTGGCTTAACCCCTTGACTGTCGCAACCCCAAATCCTGATGTCTCCTGGTGTCGCAAAATTTCCGAAAAAAAAAATTATTTTTTTTCTTATGAAATGCTGAGAATCTTTTCCCGATTGTAATGACACCAAAAGAACAAAATTTGGTGGAAAACTGCGGAATTACTCTCTCACGAAGTTAGCGGCCTCGGCGATATTTACGAATCGGCGATTTTGCCCACTTTGAGCCTTATTTTCGGCTAATTCCATTGTTCCAGTTGACCAAAGTCATAGCTATTTCTTTAGAACTCCATTTTTTGTATCAATTGAGTACAAGAAACTGCCCACTTACCGATTTCAACTACCCAATAACGTGGTCAGAAATTTGCAATTTAACCAATTTCACGAAAATTAAAAAATGTGACAATTTCAAAACAGGGTCTAGAATGAACAATGCAGACATTCCTGGCTCTAAAATAACATTTTCTTTGTTCATCAGTCATGTCTCCAGGCCCCTCTGATATTACTCTTGCTTTCTATTCAAATAAAAAATATAAGATTTAATGTTATGCAGACTACTGCAATATTGTAATAATTCTATAAATAATGTCAACCCATTCATGACTGCATATTAGAATGGCTACTTGGACATTTATTGGAAAATGACATCATTTGTTTAAATTTGAACATTGGCAAAAATCAAACATTTCCCCTACTTTGAGCTCCATTTCAAGGTTCTTTTCATAGTAAAAACCAATCAAAATTACTCTGTTTCTATAATTTGTTTTCCATTCTATCAAATGAGACCAAGAAAGCGAGAATACAATCATAAATACTATACGAAAATAGACCACAAAGTCAGCATTTTAATTAAAAAATAAGGTCGGAGTTTTTTTTCTCATTATGCACTGCATGCTGCAGGATTTTTTTTATATGGTGCACACTGACCACACAGACCCATTCTCTCACATGTGGGCCTACCAGCTTTCTCCTGCTTGATTTGAAGCCGCTAGAATTTATGAGTACAGTGGACCCCCCGCCTTACAATATTAATCCGTTCCTGAGAGCTCACCGTAAGCCGAAATTATCATTAGCCGAATTAATTTTCCCCATAAGAAATAATGGAAATCAAATTAATCCGTTCCTGACACCCCAAAGTATGAAAAAAAAAATTTACCACATGAAATATTAATTTTAATATATACAAACTGAAGAAGACATACACAATTACTATTCTACTAAGAATAAAATACATGACACATACCTTTATTGAAGATCTGGTGATGACTGATGGGATGGGAGGAGGGGAGAGTGTGGAAGTTATTGTTTAGAAGGGGAATCCCCTTCCATTAGGACTTGAGGTAGCAAGTCTTTTTCCAGGGTTACTTCCTTTCTTCTGTTAATGCCACTAGGACCAGCTTGAGAGTCACTGAACCTCTGTCGCACAACAAATCTGTCCATAGTGCTCTGTACCTATCGTTCCTTTAAGACTTTCCTAAAATGGGCCATAACATTGTCATTGTACAGGTTGCCAACATGGCTTGCAGTAGCTGTGTCAGGGTGATTTTCATCCGTAAAGGTTTGCAGTTCAACCCACTTTGCACACATTTCCTTAATCTCCTTTTTCAATTCCATACTAATTCTCGCCCTTTTTACCACAGGGATGGCACTAGAAGCTTTCTTGGGGTCCATGGTGACTTATTTTGCAGTTACAAGCACTAAAAACACTGGGATAATGTGAAATGTACCGAATGTATGCGTATATGCGACTGCACTGGCTGGCTTGTAAACACTGACGTTGAGGCCACACATGGGACGTGTCCCAGATGAATCACGTAAGGCGAGTTTTTTATCGCGAGGCGAGGCAAAATTTTTGCACCCAAATGCTTCGTATGGTGGATTTAATGTAATGCGATGCATTCGTAAGGCGGGGGTCCACTGTATATATACGTCAAACACGGTGGCTCGTAAGACGTATGTATATATACGACTGAAACAGTCAAAGGATTAAAACACCAACTTTGTGGCATATTTTCGTATGGTATTTATGGTTGTATTCTCATTTTCTTGGTCTCTAATGATAGAATGGAAGATATATTATTGAACGGTTGACGAACTAAAAGTACCTTGAAATTGAGCTCAAAGTAGCGGAAATGTATGAATTTTGCCGATGTTCGAAAGTAAACAAATCATGTCATACATCCAATACATGTCAACTGGTGGGTCTAATATGCTTTCACAAATGTGCTATTATTATTTATACCACTTTTACAAAAATGCAGTAGTCTGCACAACAATAAAACTTATATTTTTTGTGTGAATAAAAATTTAAAATAGAAAGCACGCATAATATAAGAGGGGCCTGGAGGCGTGACTAGTGAACAGAGAATATTTTATTTTAGTGCTAGGAATGTTTGCATTGTTAATTTTGGACCTTATTTTGAAATTGGACTTACAGTGGAATTTGAAAAATCGAACGTATCAAAAATAGGACCATTTTTTCGGACAAACTGTGTCCCTATTATCAAACGCGCCCCTATTTTCGGACCGCCAGGTACGGGACCTGTCTGCCGGCCCGCTCTGTCCGCGTCCCAGCGCAGGCGCTGTGAGCAGTCTAGCTTTGTTTATGCTTGAGTGAACACTAACCTGCGCTCTCATTCACGCATTTTATGATTATTTCGTTGTGTTTAGTGCTTGTGGGACTGTGAAATAAGCTGCCATGGGCCCAAAGAAACTTGCTAGTGGTACCCCTGTGGTAAAGAAAGTGAGAAACACCATAGATGTGAAGGAAATAATACAGAAGTATGAGAGTGGTGTGAGACTTGTTGAGCTTGCCAGGATGTATGGGAAAAACAAGTTGACCATTGGTTCTATCCTGTCAAAGAAAGAACAAATCAAGGAAGCTGATGTTGCGAAAGGTGTTAATATAGGGAGTGGATGAGGTGCCTTCTTCAAAAATTAAGGAGATTTGTGCCAAGTGGAATGATGTCCAAATGTTTGTGCAGAAGTACCACCCTGAGCAAGCTGAAACAAGCCATCTTTGCAACAAGTTCAGTGACAGAACCATGTCCCATTTTAGGGAAATGTTAAAGAGGCACCAGAAACAGAGGACTGTGGACAGTTATTTTGTGAGACAGGGGTCCAGTGACTCTCAAGCTAGTCCTAGTGGCATTAAAAGACAGAGAAAGGAAGTAACCCCAGAGAGAGCTTTACCTGAAGTCCTCATGAGAGGGAGATTCTCCTTCCAAACACTAACCCCAACTCCCTCTCTCCTCCTCCCTATCTTCCAGATGCCATCACCAATCTTCAATAAAGGTAAGTAAAAATGTTATTTTATATGTATTACTATACATAATTAAAAACTATAGTATTTGTTGTACATAAAACTGTAATTAATCTCTAGAAAATGTATTTTTTGTGTGAATATTTTTGGGTTTCTGGAACGGATTAATTGTATTTCCATTATTTCTTATGGGAAATATTGCTTCGAATTTCAGACTTTTCGAATTTAGAACTAGCTCCTGGAACGGATTAAGTTCGATTTTTGAGGTTCCACTGTACTTGAATTGTGTATGACACTGCCCAAATTACCAATTTCTGATCACTTTATTGGGTAGTTGAAATCAGTAAATGGACAGTTTCTTGTACTCAATTGATAGAACAAAAGAAGTTCTAGCAAAACAGCTGAGTCTATTCGACTGGAACAATGGAATCGCCAAAAATAAGGATCAAAGTCAGCAAAATCGCTGATGCATAAATATCACTGAGATCACAAACTTTGTGAGTGTAATTCTGTGACTTTTCCATCAAATTTTGTACTTTTGGTGTCATTACCATCGGGAAAAGATTCTCTGTCATTTTATAAGAAAAAATAATTTTTATTTTAAATTCTTCGACAGTGAGAGCAAGTTTGTGAGCAGGGGTCTCAACAGTGAAAATGTTAATATGCTATACCATTTCAACAGTAAAAGTTGTATGTGATTTCATACAAAAATTATTTAGCATAAGATAAACATCTTAAAAATTGCTTTAAATTTTATCAATTTGTATTTGTTCTTATTCCTGTTTCTTTAACCCTTTGTAGATCTACATCATGAGCTTAGCTTACTCTGATATGCTGTGAGTGGTAAATTTGGGTCTAGATAGAGAATTCATCTATGTGGTAAGTGTGCACCACAAAGGAAATCCTGCAGCACGCAGTGCATAATGAGAAAAAATGCGACCGCATTTTTGGATTAAAACACCAACTTTGCGGTTTTTATGGTTCTATTTGCGGTTTCTTTGTCTCATTTGATGAAATGGACGACATATTACAGAAATAGATTTGATTTTGATTGGTTTTAGTACTGAAAATAACTTGAAATTGAGCTCAAAGTAGTGAAAATGTTTCGATTTTTCCCAATGTTCAAGAGTAAACAAATGACGTCACACATCCAATACACATCAACTGGTGGGTCTAATATACATTTACAAATACACTGATATTATTTACACAATTATTACAATATTGCATAACAGTAAATACTATATTTTTTTGGTGTCAATAAAAATTCTTTATGTAAATAAAAAATCAAAATGGAATTCATCTGTAAAGTCTGGAAATGTAACTAATAAACAGAGGAAATGTTAATTTAGTGCCAGGAATGCCTGCATTGTTTATTCTGAACCCTATTTTGAAATTAGGATATTTTGAACTTTATGTGAAATTGACCAAATTACCAATTTCTGATCACTTTAGTGGGTAGTTGAAATAGCTGATTGGGCAGTTACTTCTGCTCAATCAATAAAACAGAAGTAATACT